GCAGAATGGCCTGCAAAATAGCTTCTGATCTGCCTTAACTCCAAGGCTTTCGTCCAATAAAAACAGCATGTTCAGCATTATCTACCTAGCCTTGCAGAAAACAGAAAGGCCGCAGCACTTCTCACACTCCCTGCAGCTTTGGTTTGTGCAAACATTCCTCCCTCTCAGCTTTGCTCTCTCCCTGCCATGTCATACCAGCTCTAACCACAGGGCTCAGTTCTGCCACCAATATTGAAAGACCACTTCTCTGGGACCCTTGCTGTACCCTGAACTGCTTACAAATTAAGGGCTGCTTGACAACACCAGCTAGACAACAAAATGGTTCTTTAGTCTGGTACAAACAGGCACCTGTAAGTTTTGCCCAGATAAACCCAGACAGCTTTCTCCCCTTTCCTTGCCTCTTAATTTGTACAAATTCGACATTCCTACAAAGGCAGCAAAAATCAGCAGGGCAGTTTCCAATGCCAGGGTATTGAGTAGGGAAAATGACCCTTAACAGCATTCTGCTGTCCCTTTCCACGTGCACAAGACTCAGCGTTTCATGGACTGATTCATTATTTTAAGCACACTTGATGACTCTGCAAGAAGTGCAGCTCAAAGGCCACCACCCCAGACTAGGAATTGGAAGCCGGTAGCTACTCCAGAGAGCAGAGTACCCAAGGGCCATTGCAAAGGGCCAAATTCTGCAAACAAAAAAAACATGCTCTAAAGCAAGAGAGAGTCAAGTTATGAACAAATTTCATCAATTTCAGCCTCAGCCAGCTCCTTCTCTCCCTTTAACTTAAGCTTAAAAAATTTAAAAAGTGAAAAAAGCCTTTCTGATATTTTTAAATAGCAGTCTGGTATCTCCTATCTGCAGCACAAACCTCAAATCTCACCACCACTACTGTAGACTACAGCATTTTAGACTCCAGGACATTATATCTGCATCAAATATGTGCTCCCGAGAGAGGATAAAAGCTTAAATTCCAGTCATAGTCATTAAGGTTAGACATTATAAATTAAAGATACCAAGAAACGCTGGGGGGTTGCAAAAATGAGGCTTCTTAGATTGCTGTTGGCAAAGGAAGAAAAATCCAGAAGTTTGCATTTGTGCATCATGAAGCAATGTTGTATGCTAGATAGGAAATTAGGACACTGTGCAACCAAGGACAGATGTTACCCCTGTTGTCCTAGTCATTCTAGAAGCAAGAAACATTACTATGGGTGAAAGCTACCTGGAAAGAAGTGAATCTTCATGCCGTGCTGACTAATACTTCGGCACTAGACTACGGCTGGGAACTTTCAGCTGTGTCATCTCACACTGCCTTCAGTAACTGCAACTCCAGGCCGCACAAAATGAAGGCCGATGGCTGCAAGGGGCGTGTGAGAGAGAAGGGGTGGGAGTCAGAAGAGAAGAAAAATAAGGTGGCTGTTTTTGTGAACTTTTCAACCACTGCTTTATGAATAAAAACAGTAGCCTCTTTATATCTTCCGAAACACTGAGAAAATGACCACGGACTAAATAACGGATGTAGAAGAATGCACGGATGTAGAAGAATGCACAACCAAGTGACAAGGACACCAACGCCTGTCTTCATTCATAGCTCGCATGAGAACAGCTCACGTTCTCTACCTTGCACAAAGGCAGAGCCCTGCAATAGAGGATAGTTGCTCCAGTTGCTAATGCTTCTCACCAGTCCTCTCTGAAAATACACCTCCCTGGAAAATGGCTTAAAGGGCTACTTTGCCACTGTTTCCCATATAGACTTATGCTTACAGTAAAACATTAACTCCTTGCCCAACGCTGCTTCTTGATTGCTAGTATTGACGGGCGCTTCAGAGAAGTTCATTGGGCTTTCTGCAGAGATGGCCAAGCTCTATAGAAGGAGCAGACGAGCCCACCTTGTCCAGCAGTACAGGAGAGCAGCACGGGTCAGGGAGAGGGATTCACTGCTGACGTGGACACGAACTGGTGCAGCTTCAGTGGCTTCCACAGAAGTGGTTGCACTGGCGCAGCTTCAATGGCTTCCATAGAAGTCGTTGCATCAGCTGTAACTATCCACACCGATTTACATTTCTTATGAATCAACTCCTACAACGAACAGGGCTTATCTGCCCTTTTTGTAGAGATAACACTCAACTTGACCCTTCAGAAAAGTCTGCGTGAATAATGGGCAGTTAACTGTAACAGGACAAACAAGAACTAAAACCCAGGAAAAACTCTCCACTAAGCATATCCTGTTGAAAGATAACCAAATCTAAGTAGTACAATCTCTTGTCACCATCTCAGCTGCCAGACTTCAGCTTCTGGAAAACATCGTAATTTTCAACCACAGACTTCTACTTGAACTTTGAATACAAGTCAAAGTTAGACATTATGCATGAAGACAAATCGGGCCACCCAGACAATTTCCTAAGTCAGACCCCATTACTCATCCTGTACTTAAAAGATGTTTAAAAAAAAAAAAAAAGTAAAGCACTAAAAAGTAACAGTAGCTAAGTCAATGCACACTCACTAGCAAATTCTCCTTCTCCGAGCAGAATAAGAAGGGTATTTATGAACCAATGCTTTCGGTTTAATTTGGTAAAAGTCAGGAGGCTTGGGTGGGCTTAAGGAAAAAAAAAAAAAAAAAAAAAAAACTAAGCACAGCTAATTTTACAGAGAAAACTACCAACAAAAGACAAACCCCACCTAAAAAGCATGCTAGGCCTTCTGCCCTTGATCAGCACTAATGGCCATATAAAATCTGGTGCGATTGCTATTTGCTACAAAATACATCAATATCATGTGACAGAAAAATAGGAGGGGACCATGCCACTGAGAAAGGCTCAGCATCCAAGAGCAGCCACAGCAGCTGTAGCAATCTCTGGAGCTTTTCCTTACCATACCCGTTACAGGTCACCACTAATCCTCTTCCCCTGGCATCAGTACAAAGAGATTCCCTAAATGAAATAATCCACCATTGGATAAGCTGCTTATTTTCTCCTACAGTCCGCATATAGCTGTACCACAAAAAACACACTTCAGTTGGAAACTAAGGCAATTTGTATTGATAGACTACACTGAGTCAAGCAAATACCCCCCAGCTTTGGTGCTGATGACTCCACACCTCCCCTTGCCCCTCCAGCGTTTGCTGACTCACAAGATCAAAAGGAACAGATGATCCAGGGGCACATTCTGAAGGTGGCAAGTACCAGACCTACATGCGGGACCCCTACGAAAATAAACCCTGATGGCCAGTACCCAACATGGTTGTAGCCTCCTTAAAGGAGCCAGCTCCTCCCAAACTGCTGAACATTTCACCCTCTTGGATACAGCCGTAAGAAGGGAGGAGAAAAATCAAAGTAGTGCTATGCTTGTCCCGAAAGCTCCAGTTGGTACGTGTCAGGCCAACACTTAAAAGAATTAAAATGACCAGATTACCCGGAGTCACAGATTGCCAATTCCTGTCCACACAGTACCGTGTAATGCAGCGAGTGCTGAGCTTCAAAGGGTTGAGAATTGTCATTCCCCCGCCCTGACTGCAGCTTTCGCATCCCATATCCTGTCCCTCTAAATGTTTTGATAATTTCAAACATTCCCAGAAAAATACTACAAACATACCATAAGTCTGAAAGAAGTCTCCCCAGCTGTGTTTCCTCCTAACGCGCCACTCCTAGAAGGAACCTCCAAGGCGTGGCTCCATATCACATTATTCCCAGACTTTGAAACCAAAAATGGAGAGAAGGACCCAGGGAGGTTCTACCTCTCCTACCTGCTAACTTGGCTGGACTAACTAGCCAGATCTGTCCCCCCCACCTGAAGTTTCTATTTCACTGGCTCTATCCATAGGATGAAAAGGCTTCACCCTCACAGGTGGCACACTTAGCACTCTGGACATTCACCAACCTGACTTCCAGGGGCAAGGATGTCTGACTTGGGCAACTTGTGAGCAGCTATTTCTAGCTCTTCTCCTCCGCTTTGTCGGAGGCCACGCTCACAGCAAAGCTACTCCCAAAGTACTCAAAGCAGGATGTTAGAAGAGATGACTCAACTTCTGTTCCTCGTAGTACGCTATATATATAAGAGGCTAGTTACCACCACACTTTCAAACCTGGGTTTAGAACAGAGGTGGAGACACTGAGAAAAATCACAGTTGTCCTACAACATGCCAGGGCAATTGGTGCTTACAATAAGCCCCCGCTGCCAAAAAGCCAACACCCGTTGCAAAACAGATCCATCTTCCTTCCTCACTGCGATCTCCACCGGGGCCAAGAGCTTTCCTGCCCCACCAGCACCGGGGCCAGCCCTCGACGACAGCCCGCATCCGCGGCCCTGGGCGAGCACACGGGTCGGGGCGGGCAGACCCCCGAGGGGCCACTTGGGGTGGGGTGGGGGGGGGACAAGGGATGGAGAAGTTAAATGATCTGACCGCCGGGCTGACAGCACAAGGCA